TAGTCTTAACATCTATCCACTACCTATATTTTGCATATTTTTCGTGACAGAAATTCTTAGGAACTCTAAGTTCTGTGTCTGCCACAGAAATAATTACATATGATTTGTTGCAATTTATCAATTTTATAGACATCACACTTCCTACCTGTCACTGTGATATATAACAAAACACTAAGAGTACAGGGCCAGCCTTAGTGTTTAGACCATCTGTGTAAAAAAAATCTTCACAGGGCGCTTCCCTGGTCACACTCGCTCATCTATGTTTAGTGTGTGTTTAGGAGTAAAGTGTTTGTATAGAGCAGGGGTAGTCAACCGGGTCAACCTGGGATTTCAGGTGTGCGGTGGTGAGTTCTGCAGAAAATGCCCGGTGAGCCATGATGGCTGCATGGGCTATCTCCCCTGCCAGCCCATGCAGAGCCAGCCTTGCTGTAAGTTCTCTCAGGCGGACTTAGTTCAAGCAGAGGGAGGGAAGGGCCTGGAAGGCTATGTGTTTCTCCCACAAGCAGACTGATCAGAGCATTGCCATGCGTTACCATGGCAATGCTCCGATATAGTGCTGTGCTCACAGGAAGACAGGGGAGTCAGCCTGACGCCGGAGCTGCAGCTAACGTGAACATGCCACCAAGGGAGTGGAAGACATTAAGATAGTCTTCTACATCTCACCCACCTACACATAGCATAGACCCTATTCATCCTTTACACAAACACACACTACACCCCTCACACAGACGCCCTCCTCACACACACACACACACACCCCTCCCCCTCATAGACACAGACTTCCCTTCTCACACACACTGCCTGCCTGATACACACTGCACCACTCATACACACTGTACTCCTCAGAAACACACTGGCTCACACTGTACCCATCACACACACTGCCCCCTCACACACATCACCTCTAACACACACACACTGCATGGTCACATACACACACAAACTGCCCTCTCACACACACTGTTCAACCACACACACACTACCTCTTCACACACATACTGCCCCCCCTCACACACACACACTGCACCCCTCAAACACACAGCACCCTTCATACACACAGCACCCTTCATACACATTGTCCCACTCACACACACAATAAACCCCTCACACACACCGCCCTCTCACAGACTGCTCCCTTACACACACTGCCCCCTCAAACACACACACTCCACCCCTCACACATACACACTGCACCCTTCAAACACACACACACTGCCCTCTCACACACACTATCCCCACACACACCACCACTCACACATACACATACACATTGTGATGTTTTGTACAAATAAGCCAATAATTCCTGTATAACGAAGTACTCACTTTATTAATACATATATAACAGGATCTTCATATTGCTGCCTTGTTACATATGGTTTCTGCAGCCGCCATTTCAAATCACTGGAACATTCCACCAACTGCCAACAGGAACAGGAAGTAAAGAGCCACAAGAAAGGAAGTGCATCATTGACAGCCAAACAGCCCAACTGCCCATATATCACAATACATACACTCATACACAGCCCAACAGTCCATGCATCACAATACATACACTCATACACAGCTCAACAGTCCATGCATCACAATACATACACAGCTCAACAGTCCATACATGACACACACACTACATCCTTCAGACACAAGCACACACAACACCCTTCAAACACACACTGCACTCCTCACACACTGCACCCTTCACACACACAGCACCACTCACACAAACAGTAAACTTCACACACACTGCCCCATCACACACAGCACCTCACAGACGCACATTAAAAAAAAAAAAAAAAAGGGAAAACAACATTTTTTGGTATATATTTAAAAAAAAAAACTAATATATATATATATATATATATATATATAAAAATAGGGCTTGCGCTACAAAATTAGTTACTGCAACACAAGTTGGCGGTAGGAAAATTTTACCATCAACAATGTTACAAAAGTGGGTGGCAGGTATTAAAAGGTTGACTACCCCTGCTCTAGGATATACAACTCTATGCAATGACAGTGGAGCCAATAGATGGACATTTTTCTACCTGTTTTGTCATACCTTCATGGGATCTTCCAGCGCTACAGTCCCTTCCCAATGACTGGCGCAAAGTGGCTGGATTATCTAGGGCAGGGGTAGGTAACCTTTCAGTAGTACTGTGCCAAAACAAAATTTTTAAGTATCATGGTGTGTCAATCCTATTTTTTTTTTAATTGACCTGTGTATGTTGCCGTATTATGCTTGTGTTGTTTATGGGTTACTTCAGTTGCTTTGTAGTATGGTATGTGTGCATATGTGGATTGTAATATTGTACAGTAGATGCTCATGAGTACAACGTTTATAATTATGTTGGCACTTGACAGTGAAACTGGTGCAGATATTGAGGTCAGTCTCTTATATAATATGAGATATATACCTGTGACAGATCCATCTGTAGAGACTAAGATTGCTGGATTCGTCTGTTTTGCCTTTTTCATGAATTCACCCGTTTGTATGCCTTTGTTTAAGTGAATTGACTTTTCTGCCGAACAAACTACCGAACGGATGGCCACCCAGAAGAGAAGTGTGCTGCTGGTTAACCTATTGATCCCAATTAGAACGTTGCGGTTAACCACAGACACTTCTCAATTAAAACTGAATACAGGGTGGTCGTCGTTCGGATGTCGACCACAAGGCGGCGGCCATTTTAAACCATGCGAAAGACCAGTGGTGTTCGGCATTAATTTCATGGAACTGAAAACGGACACTTTTTCAACCGAACACTGCTGAAGCCGTCGACCTCCCTTCTCAAATCGACTGAAGTTTGCGAACACCGGCCGTTCGGGAGGTTTAAAGGCACGAATGGACTTACCCCAGATAGTCTTCCCATGGAGTCAATCACATACCGAAGAACTGTAATAGACTTTGACTCCATGGCGATTGAACTATGCGTATGGGATCTGAGCACTATTCGCCAATAATATGCACTCAGATCCAGGCTATCTGGGGATATGTGATACGAATGGGTAGCATTCGACAACTGTAAAGTTATCTAATTTTATGTGTTTTTATGTGTTGAATTTAAAATGGCGATTTGCCTCTGTCCTGGAGATAATTGAATTACTTCTCAATTATCTCCAGGGCAGTGTGGAGGAATTACTATTACATGCTGGGAATATTTTGTGTCTGTGGGCCCTGAACTGCTATATGTCTATCTGTTGTCACAGTCTCCCATTTGGTCCCCTAGGGGAGTGTCCACCAAGTGGGAGACCTGCATAACTACAGGCAGGTAGCCCACAGTAAAGCCAGTTCTTGTTTTACCCTCAATGCGGAGCTTGGTCTCGTTATTGGGGGGGATTTATTACCGATGACTAGAGACTGCTGGATGAGATTATCAGCCGCTTGGGAGATACCTGCGTTCGACTAATATTGGCGATTCGTGAGCTTGGAGCTTGTGGGCACTTCGCCCGTACGGATCCCGTTGGTGAGTTTACAGCGTTGCGGTTCGTATGATTACACTGGATACGCATTCAGCCTGGGTTATTGCGAACGGGGAGCATTCACTAAATGGCAGTTTGTACATTTCATGCTGAGGGTACCGTAACAATACCAAAAAAAATTTAAAACTATACGACTCAAATAAATGCCAAAAATTCTTTAATCAAGAAAAAAAAGTATATATTGCCATTACATAGGAGTGGGCAGAAATAGATACTGTGTAATTTCATACAAAGCAAGGTGCCTGCCACAGTATATGTACAAAAATAAATCCATATCATAAACTTATAAATCATAGTATATACAAGCCAAAATAAGGCATACGTTAATCATTTGCACACAAATGGCCAAGAAAACAGTAATAATCAGTTATTAATCTGGTGGATCCACCTAATATACACTGCTCAAAAAAAATAAATAAAGGTCACACAAAAATAACACATCCTAGATCTGAATGAATTACATATTTTTCTGAAATACTTTGTTCTTTACATAGTTGAATGTGCTGACAACAAAATCACACAAAAATAAAAAAATGGAAATCAAATTTTTCAACCCATGGAGGTCTGGATTTGGAGTCACACTCAAAATTGAAGTGGAAAAACACACTACAGGCTGATCCACCTTTGATGTAATGTCCTTAAAACAAGTCAAAATGATTTTCAGTAGTGTGTGGCCTCCACGTGCCTGTATGACCTCCCTACAACACCTGTGCATGCTCCTGATGAGGTGGCGGATGGTCTCCTGAGGGATCTCCTCCCAGACCTGGACTAAAGCATCTGCCAACTCCTGGACAGTCTGTGGTGCAACATGACGCTGGTGGATGGAGCGAGACATGATGTCCCAGATGTGCTCAATTGGATTCAGGTCTGGGGAATGGGCGGGCCAGTCCATCAATGCCTTTGTTTTGCAGGAACTGTTGACACACTCCAGCCACATGAGGTCTAGCATTGTCTTGCATTATCAGGAACCCAGGGCCAAAAGCACCAGCATTCAAGGGGTCTGAGGATCTCATCTCGGTACCTAATGGCAGTCAGGCTACTTCTGGCAAGCACATGGAGGGCTGTGCGGCCCCCTAAAGAAATGCCAACCCACACCATTACTGAACCACTGCCAAACCGGTCATGCTGGAGGATGTTGCAGGCAGCAGAACGTTCTCCACGGCATCTCCAGACTCTGTCACGTCTGTCACATGTGCTCAGTGTGAACCTGCTTTCATCTGTGAAGAGCACAGGGCGCCAGTGGCGAATTTGCCAATCTTGGTGTTCTCTGGCAAATGCCAAACGTCCTGCACGGTGTTGGGCTGTAAGCAAAACCCCCACCTGTGGACGTCCGGCACTCATACCACCCTCATGGAGTCTGTTTCTGACCGTTTGAGCAGACACATGCACATTTGTGGCCTGTTGGAGGTCATTTTGCAGGGCTCTGGCAGTGCTCCTTGCACAAAGTCGGAGGTAGCGGTCCTGCTGCTGGGTTGTTGCCCTCCTACAGCCTCCTCCACGTCTCCTGATGTTCTGGCCTGTCTCCTGGTAGCGCCTCCATGCTCTGGACACTACGCTGACAGACATAGCAAACCTTCTTTCCACAGCTCGCATTGATGTGCCATCCTGGATGAGCTGCACTACCTGAGCCACTTGTGTGGGTTGTAGACTCCGTCTCATGCTACCACTAGAGTGAAATCACCGCCAGCATTCAAAAGTGACCAAAACATCAGCCAGGAAGCATAGGAACTGAGAAGTGGTCTGTGGTCACCACCTGCAGAACCACTCCTTTATTGGGGGTGTCTTGCCAATTGCCTATAATTTCCATCTGTTGTCTATCTCATTTGCACAACAGCATGTGAAATTGATTCACTCAGTGTTGCTTCCTAAGTGGGCAGTTTGTGTTGTTTAAGTGCTCCCTTTATTTTTTTTGATATATATAGAGATATACACACACACACACATATATATACAGGGCCGGTGCAAGGATTTTTGCCGCCCTAGGCAAAAGTAAAGTTTGACGCCCCCCTCCTCCCCCCCGTGACATCGCAATGCCCCACCCATATGACCTGCCATGTTAACTAACGCTAGTGCTGCAGTGCCGCTGTGTTTACATTAAAAGGCCTGCAGGGACAGGCTATAGACACCAGGACCACTACATTAAGGTGCAGTGGTTCTGGGGACTATAGTGTTTCTTTAATGTGAGGTAAATTAGAGATTAGTGCCACGAATAATATACTAGATTACCTACTTACAAGCAGATGAGGATGATGATGGGCTCTAGCTGCAGTCTGGCTCCACTGGTCTGGTGTATAACAGGATCTCTGGAGGCTGTTTGTAACTGTGGTCACACAAATCAATGTTCTGGGAGAACGAGAAGCAGCTCCATTTTTTGGGGGCCCTTTACACAGCTCAAGGTCTGGGTCCCAGGGTCCACCTTCATTTTCCACCAATGAGTTTGTTCACAGGGGATGGAGTGTGTAGGGAATGCCCTGATTTGTGTGAATCTGTGTTTGTATGTGTAAGGGCTGCAAGGTGTGTTTCTGTGTATGTAAGGGATGAAGTGTGTGAGTCTGTAAGGGGTGCATTGAGTGTGTGTAAGGAATGCATTGTGTGTTTCTGTGTGTGCAAGGGATGCATTGTGTGTAAGGGTTGCATTGCGTGTGTGTGTGTAATGCATTGTGTGTGTAATGCATTGTGTGTTTTTCTGTGTGCAAGGGGTTCATTGTCTTTGTGTGTAAGGGGTGCATTGTGTGTGATTGTGTGTGTGTGTGATGGATGTCAATCTCTCCCCCCTCCCTTGTCACTCTCTTCTCCCCCCCTCCCTTGTTACTCTCATTCCCCCTCCCTCCCCTGTCACTCCCCCCTCCCTGTCAATTTCTCTCTCCCCGTCAATTCCCCTCCCTGTTAGTTTCTTTCTCCCCCCTCCCCTGTCAGTTTCTTTCTTCCCCCCTCCCCTCCCCTCCCTGTTTCTTTCTTCCCCCTCCCTGTTTCTTTCTTCCCCCCCTCCCTCCTGTTTCCTTCTCCCCCTCCCTCCTCTTTTCCCCCTCCTGTTTCTTCCCCCTCCCTCCCTGTTTCCTTCTCCCCCCTCCCTCCTTCCCTGTTTCCTTCTCCCCCTCCCTCCTGTTTCCTTCTCCCCCTCCTCCCTCTTTCTTCCCCTCCCTCCTCCCTGTTTCTTTCTTCCCCCTCCTCTGTTCGGCTTCTCCCCCTCCCTCCCTGTTTCTTTCTCCCCCTCCCTCCCTCCCTGTTTCTTTCTCCCCCTCTCTCCCTCCCTGTTTCTTTCTCCCCCTCTCTCCCTCCCTGTTTCTTTCTCCCCCTCCCTCCCTCTGTTTCTTTCTTCTCCCCCCTCCCTCTCTGTTTCTTTCTTCTCCCCCCTCCCTCTTTTTTTCTTCTCCCCCTCCCTCTCTCTCTGTTTCTTTCTTCTCCCCTCCCTCCCTCTCTGTTTCTTTCTTCTCCCCCTCCCTCCCTCTCTGTTTCTTTCTTCTCCCCCCTCCCTCTCTGTTTCTTTCTTCTCCCCTCCCTCCCTCTCTTTCTTCTCCCCTCCCTCCCCCTCTGTTCTTTTCCCCTCCTCCCTCTGTTTCTTTCTTCTCCCCCCCTCCCTCCCTCTGTTTTTCTTCTCCCCTCCCTCTCTGTTTCTTTCTTCTCCCCCTCCCTCCCTCTCTGTTTCTTTCTTCTCCCCTCCCTCCCTCTCTGTTTCTTTCTTCTCCCCCCTCCCTCCCTCTCTGTTTCTTTCTTCTCCCCCTCCCTCCCTCTCTGTTTCTTTCTTCTCCCCCTCCCTCCCTCTCCTTTCTTCTCCCCTCCCTCCCTCTCTGTTTTTCTTTTCTCCCCTCCCTCCTGTTTCTTTCTTCTCCCCTCCCTCCCTCTCTTTTCTTCCCTCCCCTCCCTCCCTCCCTGTTTCTTTCTTCTCCCCCTCCCCTCCCTCTCTTTTTTTTCCTTCTCCCCCCCCTCCCTCTTTCTTCTCCCTCCCTCCCCTACCTGTGTGGTAGAGCCTAGTATAGTCCGACCGGTACAGGGAGCTGTTGTTTCCTGTACCCGGCCGGACTAACAGGAAGTGAACACTCAGTGTTCACTTCCTGTTAGTCCGGCCGGGTACAGGAGACAGCTGCTCTCTGTACCGGTCGGACCATGCCATAGAGGGCTCGGCCACGCTACAGAGAGGGAGCTGACAGGTGGGAGCGCTGAGCGCTTCCCTCCTGTCAGCCTCTCCCCATGCTGCGCCCGGGCGGTGCGGTCCGCCCTCATGGACGCACCGCCCGGGCAAAGCTGCAGCCGCCTGAGGCTCTTTACAGAGCGCTCGGGCGGCTGCAGCATGAGCGGGGCCGGCGCTCCTGGCGGCGCCCCCTCCCAAGGGGCGCCCTAGGCGGCTGCCTAGTCCGCCTTACAGGTAGCGCCGGCCCTGCATATATATACATATATATATATATATATATATACATACACACATATATATACACACACACTATAGGTTTTCCTTATATGTACCAAACAAAATTAATATGTACAAAAAAGAAAAAAAAGGAAAAACTGATAAAGACAAAAAATAGTAAAAAAAATAAATAAAACTGGAAAAGTAACAAGTCCCATATACAGAGATCTGTGTATAATCCACTAAATGTTTGTAAACAAAGGGAACTACAAAGTCAGTGGAGAAGATAAAAAAAAAAAAAAATGATTGAAAATACACTCACAAAAGTGGAGCTATCTATTAGCTCTCAAGTGTTAATATTTGATAATACAATCCTTGTCACAGAATATGGAGTGGATGATCAATCATGGCTTTGATAAGAGTACAGGTATGCTCTGTAGTACATCTCCTATGGAATATATAAATGTGGAGACAAAAAGAGCCAATAGTATAATCCAGTAACACAATCGAAAATATTTATTGAAATTAAGTAGAATATACTCACAAGCAAATAGCTTAAATTTCAGCTCTTAGTATAAGCATGAAGTGGTATAATCCTCACTCAAGGATTTTTATTGGGGTATTTGTTCTTCTATATTCAATAGGCATATAACAAAAGCAGAAACAAAAAATAGTGCTCTTTGTTTATAAAAATAGTTCTATTTCTCAATAGGAGGAAATGTACTTACATTTAACAGAGCACTCATATGCTTGTTGGAAACAGCCTGGGTGGTAAAATCCCCACCTGGGATATGTAAGGAGAAATAGGAAAAAGTGCAACTGTGCCAGGACCAAAGAAAATAAATGAGTGGTATAATTTAATTTACTTTTAAATTATAAAAACAAAAAAAATATTTTGAAATAAAATAAATATAAAAAGTATTTAGCAATATCAAAAAAAATCATAACGCGTTTCGTCTGGCAGGCTTTCTCATGTGGATCCTGCATGTAGCCCTATTTATAAGGCTTCTGAAGATACAAATCATTTAAAAAAAAAAAAAAAGGCAGGCTTATGACATCATAATGATCACATGACTATTGAAACACATATGTGAATAATTCCAATCTAATTATATAATAAAGGGGGGCGTGGCCTAACCGAGCACAGAGCTGGACGCGTGTGTATAGCTCCGTGCCAGCAGCGCTGAAATAAGCCATTTATAGCAACATCACACAAGCGATACCGAGCCCAGACCACCCATGGATAAAAGAAACCCTAAAAAACCCCAGAAGAAAGGGACGGAACAAGGGACCACGGTCCCAGAGCTCTTCGCGGCCCAGAAGGCTGGGATGCCGGAGGCACAAAATGGCGCCGAAGATCACTCCAGCGCGGCATCCAGGTCGTCATGTGCAGCGGGGGCAGAGGATCTCAGCCAGGGGACAGCCATGCAAATATTAGCCAAGCTGGCGGAGGTAAGAGCTTTCCTGACAGGAGAGATAGGGAAGGCCACAGCGGTATTGCAGGCCGAGATCCACGAGCTCGGCGAAAGGACAGGCCGACTAGAAGACCGCATGGACGGCAACACCAGGGCACACAATGAGGTGGTAGCCCAGGTAAACCGCCTTACAGCTCGTTTGACTGAACAAGAATTGCAGGTGGAGGACATCGTGAATAGATCGCGGCGAAACAATGTGAGAATCCGCGGCATACCGGAGAGAGAAGGGGATGGACCCCTGTAGGCAATGCTACTCCAGGTGCTTCAGCCTCTGCTACCCGATATCCCGGAGGATATGTGGCGCATAGAGAGGGCCCACAGAGCCCTGCGGGCAAGGCGGCCTGAGCCCAACGCCCCTAGAGACATAATTATCAAATTCCTCCATTTCTCTACCAAGGAGGCTTTATTGAAGAGGAGTAGAGAGGGGCCCAACAGCTACCAGGGAGCGGAAATCACCTGATATCAGGATCTGGCACCAAGCACACTCCAGCGTCGAAGGGACTGGAAACCCATCACGGGGCACTGCAAGCGGCAGGAATCCGGTACGCTTGGGGCTTCCCCTTTCGCCTAACGGCTTTCCACGGAGGCAGAGTATACACACTAACGGTTGGAGGCGATCCACAGTGCTTTGTAAGGGAATTGGGCCTGGAACCACTGAGGAGCTGGCCGGCAGGCACCGCGCAAGTGGAGGAGCTGACACCCATACCAATGGATTGGCAGACAGCGGGAACCCACTAAAGACGGCAACTGGTACTGGGGAAATACCCGGACACACGGGGAGGCTCTGCACGATACTCAAGGGGGGCACACCGGGACTATTTGGGTGGCGGGGAAAGGGGGCCTGCCGGGGGTTTGGTCATGAGTGGGGGTGAGAGGCCTAGCCACAGGAAGGGCTTGAAAAGATGAGGTTGGGAGGGGGGTGAGGGACCGAGGTGGAAGATGGCCCCTGACCTGGGGAGCGGACGCGAGTGGAGGTCCTGTAAAGGACCGAGTGAAATGTGGAAAGTACAAGTTGGACTCATACTCTGACTTGGGGGGCCAGGCAACGAGCGCGAGACAGCAGAGCGGGGGGATAAGGCTCTGACCTTGGGAGGGGGAGCAAGGGACGGGGGCCTACAAAGACGTACCGGCTATGGCAGGGCAAGCGGGATGGGGGGGAAACTAATAAGGAAGGTATCAGATACCCACACCGACTTACACACGGGGACAGGGGGGAAGGAGACGGTATAGCGCTACGATGAGGCCTGCTACAAAAGTAGCTCAGACACGACAGTAGGCTAGCGGCAGTGGCGGGACATGGGAGAGAGGATGGGAGGGACACATATTGTGGCAAACCTAGCCACTTGTAATATTCTGGACTATGTGCATAAAAAGGTTGCCTGTATTAATCCCTGTAACTTCTTGTATTACCTGGCGGTACACTGTGTGTTAATGTATGTTTGCACTGAATTCGTATGCTAGCAGCCGAAAGCCGCAAGCATTCATGTGTTTTGTTTCACGAACAGCAACCTTACAGGCTGTTCGTGAACCGAATGAACTACCCCTTAATAGCCCACACATAGAGGGACGTGTGGCGCTCATTAACCGATTGCAACAATGTTGCAATCTGTAATTAGAGGCTTTCCTAGGTGGCCGTCATACGGCTACCGACCACGCGGCGGTCGGCCATCTTGGATCCTTTGTCTCACCAGCGGGGTTTGGTCGGCGAGCGTGTGGAGCCGAAAACTGCTACTCAACGGCGCGAACCCCGCTGGACTATTCTACTTGCTGGGAAGAATCACCTTGGAACTGCATTTCATCTATTCTATTCCTCCACTCCCTGCTGCAGCTATAATCACTCATGCTCAGCTGTTGGGAGAGGGAAGCAAGACGCAGCACCATAACCACTGCAGGTCTAAACAATCGGCTACTGGACGGGTTCCAGGAATATGCATGCGCATACCTGGACGTTATCGCTATATATAGCCAGACCTGGGCAGAGCACCTCCAACACATAGGAGCCGTGATTGTTCGTATCAGAGAGGCTGGGCTGACGCTGAAACCTAGCAAGTGTCATATAGGGATGGCAGAGGTGTAGTACTTGGGCCACCGGGTGGGAAGCGGGCAACAAAAACCCAAACCAGCCAAAACTGAAGCCGTGGCTAAGTGGCCTACCCCTAGGACAGAGACCCAAGTGCTAGCTTTCCTGGGTACTGCAGGGTACTATAGAAAATTTGTGCCCAATTGTGGTGGAATTTCGGTGAATGTAAATTTAGTAGGCCAAGATTTCCATGTGGCATATGTGTATGTTGTATCAGTTAGTCAGCTACACGTAGCTAGGATACTGTCAATGTACTGAGCATGTGCAGGAATGCAGGAACTGAAATTGCACTTATTTCCTTTGTCTTGGATGGGCCATGTGGTTTGACTAGATGTACAAGTCTATATTCTGCTCATTGATTGGTTAAAGGTATATGTGGGTGTAGCTATTAATGGGAGGAGTTATAGTGCTATATAAGGAATGTACACTATGTGTTGGTCTCTCAGATCTTTTGGAACAGGAGTTCATCTGAGACCCGATTGGTAATTTGAATAAAGGCCTCTTACTTCCTGAAGACTTGTGTCCATATCTCTGTGTTTGGCTTCTGCATGCTTACACGGTAACATCTCTGGTGCAATTGGTCCGGGAACCTCATCGCATGGAAGCTGGCGCAGAGATTTGAGACGGTAAACATTTACTACATTCTCTACGCTGCAACCCTGGACCTCCTTTCGTCTCGGCGACACTGGCCTTTTGTCCAGGAGATCATCGGCTTCTGCGCAGTGAGTACCGGGTTGTTCCGTATATGAGTGTGAATCCAGGTCCAGGAACTAACAGGTAAGACTGATACCGTTAGAGCGGTAGACCCACAAGGGGTTTTATATTTGGAACCGGTTATTGGTATTGGCCCCTTCAATTTGGAAAGGAAGAAGTGAAAGCGCAATGCTTATCTGGAAATTAGACGCTCTGTAGTCAGCCTGTCTAATATAGGTGGTATTGTCAGACTGAGTTCTGGTGTAAATAGCTCATGTCGGACACCAATGTCTTGCCTTGACTAGCATGCTAGGTGTACATTTTGGTTGCTATGCAAGGGGAGATTGTCGAAACTAGCATACTCTGTTGTAAATTATAGTTTGCTAGATTTCACCCTATCTTAACTAAGTGTGCTCTGTTGTAAATCCAGCCACTAGATTATTGATAGTTTAATAGACTAAAAGGGTATTGGTGTAAATTCTGCCCTCTAGTTCGCTATACGTGGTGTCTGGGCAGCGAAGAACTTATCGAATCTCTGGTGTACAAACAGATCGAAAGCTCTCGAGGTGCTGGCCAGTTAGAATAGTTGGGATTATTGTAAATGTTGTTAAATATATTGTAGTTGGTGAATTGGTTAACTTGTATGTCCTACTAGAAAGTTAGAGCTCTGCTGTCTAGTGGGAGTGTAAATTGTGTGTATAACTGTAAAATAGCGCACGGTACCATAACTACTGACATGTACCATAACCACTGACATTGTGTAAAAATTACTAACAATTGCTGTTTTATGTATACCATAACTGTTACTAACTGATCTGTGACTTTAAAACTGTATTATAACCACTTACTAACTGTACCATAACCACTGACTGTAAAGATGAGATTACTAGAATGTGATATAGTTGGTTAGTTAAAAGTTGATTTATAGTACGGATAATTGTAGAGACGATTTATAGTTATAGAGGTAAGTAGCTAGTGTTTGGTAGATCTTTGGGAGTGGGACGCTGTGATATTGTATGAACGAGAATTCTCTGCATGTTATCGTGTGTGTATGTTTGGCTAGCAACCGTGCCACGTGGTACTGTTGCCAGGGAAACGAGTGTGATTGTTGGAAGAGTTTGAAGTATTGTGTATCTTTGTAATAGACGTTCCATTGCCAGTATGGGTGCGTCCGACTCAAAGATTGTTGATCCCTTGTCATGCATGTTGAAAAACTTTACAAAGGGATATAAAGCCTGTGATTATAGGGTAAAATTGTCCCCAAAACGTTTGACTACCTTATGTAGTAGAGAGTGGCCTATCCTGGTGACCGCATGGCCACCACGTGGTAGCCTTGATTTCATTTTGGTACAACATGTGCACGCGGCTGTATCTAGTAGACCTGAATTTTATGATCAGTTTCCATATATTGATTGTTGGAAACAGATTGTAGAAGAATTGCCTAAATGGTATGCCACGAGGAGCAATGTTGCCTCATGGTGGCCAGGACTCTCCTCTCCATCAGGGCCACAACTCCGCCCATTTTAGATTCCCCCTCTGAAACTGACCTTCCCTCCCCACCCCCTTACACTTCCTCTAAGGTTAGAGGTGGTGCTACTGGTGTTGCTACTCCCCCTTTCCCATTGTCCCTGCCCACTCATGCATCTAGTTCAGAGCCCAGCCCACTGAAACCTCCCCTTCCGGTACAGGCCTCCACTAGCTCCATATATCCGGAACTGACGTCACTTCTGGTTCCCGGCCCGTAATATCCTGTTGAACGAACTTCCGCCCAGTAAAATTAATCCGCCTCACTCCCCTTGCCTTACTACCCCTAGACCGGAACTCATTATGAAATCATCATAACGTAGTCCCATATTAACCCGACAGATGACTGTTGCCCCTACGACTTACACCAGGCCCAACACACGTGGATGAGAATGGCCAAATACAACGGGCAGATCCAGTGTTTGTATATGTAACTTCATATACTGACAAAGCTCAAGTTATGACAGATTTGGTTACTTCTATTATCCAAACACATAATTCCACCTGGGCCGATTGCCAGCAATTATTAACTTTATTTAATTGTGAGGAAAGGACCCGGATTACTCAAGCGGCTATTAAAGCGCTTGAGGAAACGGCCGGTACTCAAAATCAGGCCAATCCAGTTGCGTGGGCTGCAGCCCATTATCCAAATGTCGATCCAAATTGGGACGTGAATGGTACTGACATGCCCCAACTAAGGGCTTATCGGGAAGCCATAATTGCTGGCATGAAGGCAGGAGGGAAGAAGGCAATTAATATGTCAAAGACGGCTGAGGTGTTGCAAAACGTTGATGAGTCACCTAGTACCTTTAATGAGAGATTATTGGAGTCATATAGGTTGTATACTCCTTTTAATCCAGAGGCTCCTGAGAATTCTAGGATGATTAATTCAGCATTTGTCAGCCAGGCCCAAGGTGATATTAAAAGGAAATTACAGAAATTAGAGGGGATTTGTAGGGATGTCCATATTACAGCTAATGGAGATTGCAAATAAAGTATATATGAATAGGGAGACGGAGGTAAAGCGGGAGGAAGAACGTAAGATGAGGAAAAAGGCAGATATGCTAGCTGTAGCTATCTCAAGTGTAGAAAGACAGGGAAGGGAAGTGAATAGAGGAGACGAGAATAGGCTGAGCAAGGGACCTCTAAGTAGGAATCAATGTGCGTATTGTAGAAAGGAGGGACATTGGAAGAGTGAGTGTCCACATAGAGAGCAGCATGAAGGTGATAGACAAGGAGAGAGAAGGGTACTAGGAGGTTATAGTGGTAGTTATAGAGGAAGAGGAAGTTTTAGAGGGAATGGTGGGACTAGTAGAGGAAGTGTTCAAGGAGACAGATACTATACACCCATGCAGAGACCTAGAGAAAGAGAGGATAGAGATTTTGTGGGTCTGGCTGACACTATCATGGAAGACTATTGATACCGACCGGGCTCCATTCCCCTTGGTCAAGCGGAGTCTATGGTCGATGTAGCAATAGGGGGAAAGAGAAGTTCTTTCATGATCGACACAGGTGCTGAACATTCTGTGGTGACTAAGATGGTGGCTCCGCCTTCGGGGAAGACTATAACTGTCATAGGAGCTACTGGGAGAAGTGCAGCTAGACCGGTTCTTAAGAGTCGCACTTGTATTCTGGGAGGCCATGTGGTGAAGCATCAGTTCCTCTATATGCCAGAGTGTCCGATTCAACTTTTAGGACGAGATCTATTATCGAAGCTTCAAGCCCAGATAACCTTTTTACCTAATGGATCAACATCTCTGAAGTTTAAGGGATTACCAGGCATAATGGCGATATCGGTGCCAAGGGATGAAGAATGGTGCTTCTATTCCATAGTGACAAGTGTTAACCCTAAGAGTGATGAATCCTTATTTGACATTCCAGGAGTATGGGCAGAGAATAATCCACCAGGACTTGCTCGTAATATCCCACCCATACATATTGAACTAAAGCTTGGAGCCTATCCTGTGATCCTACGTCAATATCACATACCCCAAAAGGCTAAGGAAAACATACAAGCCTACTTGGATAAGTTCGTAAGGTATGGCATCCTAAAGTTCTGTACTTCCTCCTGGATGACTCCATTATTACCTGTTCAAAAACCAGGATCAGACGAATATCGTCCTGTACAGGATTTGAGAGCAGTTAATGATGCAGTAGTTAATATACACCCAGTTGTACCCAATCTCTACAATGTGCTTGCCTTGATACCAGGTGGGGCAACCTACTTCACAGTGTTAGATCTTAAGGATGCTTTCTTTTGTCTTCAAATTGCTGCTGAGAGTCAACATATCTTTGCTTTCCAATGGGAAGATGCTGTTACAGGTTCAAAGCGTCAGATGACCTGGACCAGACTACCTCAAGGGTTCAAGAATTCACCTACCCTATTTGGATCCGCATTAAGCCAGGATTTGCAAGATTTCAAATCCATTCCAGGAGAATGTGTACTACTTCAATATGTGGATGATCTATTGATAGCAGCTGTTACTAAAGAGATATGCCAACAAGCCACTTATGATTTGCTTCATATTCTATGGAGAGCAGTGTAACGGACCGTTTTGCACAAAAGGGGAAAAAAACCGCTTAGACGATAATCCCCTTTTCAGAGACAGGCACAGCTACTGAATAATCACCAAAACTCACGAACCGCCAATAAGTGAATGCTCCAAACTCCCGAACGGCATACAAGGGAATAAGGTAGCACTTCAAATAAACGAACAGGAACCATACGAATAGCTGCTAGCAGGCGAACAGGAAAAGCTTCCAAGCGGCTTACACTCCTGGCAATCAGTCCTTAGCAGCATACAGTAAATCCCCCCAAAGACAAGACAAGGCTCCGTGTTGAGGGTCAAGCAGTGGTCTGTTTAATGAGGGCTACCTGCCCAGCTTTTATGCAGGTCTCCCACCTGGTGGACACTCCCCTAGGGGACCAAATGGGAGACTGTGACAAGGGACAGACAAGTATACAAAAAGGACACACAGTCACAGTATATTCCCACAATGCATCCTGGCTTCCTCCCCTCTGCCCTGGGAGATAATTGGGAAGTAACTCAATTATCTCCCAAGTCAAAGGCAAAACTCCATTACACACGTGGGAACACAAAACCAGCATTATACTTTAAAATGCACAAAGTAACATTTACTACCTAAACCACAGACATGTAACATATCCCCAGATAGCTCAGGTCTGAGTGCACATTATTAGGTGAATGGCACTCAGACTACACGAATACAGTTCAATCGCCATGGAGCCAAAGTCTTTACAGTCAGTTTCATACGAATGGGCTCCATGGGATTCCTATCTGGGGTATAAGATATTCACACAAAAATACCGAACACCGGGTCATTCGTGTGCTTTCACCGAACAAGAAGGGAGGTCGGCGGCTTCAGCGGTGTTCGCGCAAAACTGTGTCCGATTTTAGTTCCATAAAAATAGAGGCGAACACCGCTGTTCATTCGTATGGTTTAAAATGGCCGCGACCTCGTGTTCGGGATACGAACGGCGGCCACCCAGCGTTCATCAATTAAGCTGCGGTTAACCGCAGCTTCAGGGAGGTTAATTGCCGGCACACTCCAGCTCCCAGGTGGTCCAGTCATTCGTACGGTTGTTCGGTAGATTGAAACTACCGAACAACCGGCAGAAAAGCACGAATACAGCTTTTCTGCATGCAAAAATAAAGTCTTTTAAAAGGGGCCATAGTCCAAAGGCAGCAGGCGAGCAACCAGGCTTCTCCAATGCAATGTGGCGAGATTGGTCTCGTCACATCTCTCCCCTTTTCCAAACAGACTAACAGGGTATCTGACCTCCTGCCGGTCAGTGCCCTTGTTAGTCCAGCAGCCCACCCACAACAAATAATCAACAGCACAGCCCACCCACAATAAATGGTTACTACACCTGGGTAAAGGGGAAGCTTGTCCATGTCCAGGTGCCTCACCACGGCTGTGCTGGGTACGGGTACGCTGACTTGGTGGGTTGCTGCGTGGGCAGAGACCAGCGGCACTCTGCCCTGTTGCCAGCGCTACTGGGAGGGTAGCCTGGTGGAAGCCTGGTTGTTGGAGGGGGAGACCGACTGTCTCCCCTTTAAATACACCGCTCTGCTGCTGCTGCTGGAGACTGACTGTCTCCCCTTTAAATACACCGCTCTGCTGCTGCTGCTGGAGACTGACTGTCTCCCCTTTAGATGCACAGTCCTGCTGCTGGAGACCGACCGTCTCCCCTTTGGTTACCCATCTCTGCTGCTGGAGGGGGAGACCGACTGTCTCCCCTTTGGCTAAACAGCCCTGTCGCTGGGGGGCAGGACCGACCGTCCCTACCCCCTGTGCTGGCAGTGTAGAGACTACGGTCCCATCTGCACGGTTGTGGGGCTTACTGTCTCCCCTTTGTACATTAAGCTGCCGCTGGGGAGAGGGGGTAACAAGCTCCTCTCCCATACATACTTCCAGCTGTGGGGGAGGGAGACCGACTGTCTCTGCTCCCAATACAGAGTCCTGCTGCTGGGGAAAGGAGACTGGGCTCTCTATTCCCGGTAGGACACTCTGCCGCTGGGGAATGGAGACGGGGCTCCCAATTCCCAATAATCTGTGCTGCCGCTGGGGAATGGAGACTGGGCTCCCAATTCCCAAAGCATCATACTGCCGCTGGGGAATGGAGACTGGGCTCCCAATTCCCAAAAAATCACGCTGCCGCTGGGGAGGGAGGACACTGCTCTCCTCTCCCTGGACTTCCCACTGCCTTCCCGGCATATCACTTGGCTGCTGGGGGGCAGGAACAACTACCTCTGCCCCCTGTATCTCAGCCTGCCGCTGGGGAGGGAGGACGCTGTTCTCCTCTCCCTGCACTTTACACTGCCTTCCCGGCATATCACTCTGCTGCTGGGGGGCAGGAACAACTACCTCTGCCCCCTGTAACTCAGCCTGCCGCTGGGGAATGGAGCTCAGGCTCCCAATTCCCTGCAATATCTCCCGCTGGGGAATGGAGCTCGGGCTCCCAATTCCCTGCAATTTCTCCCGCTGGGGAATGGAGCTCGGGCTCCCAATTCCCTGCAATTCATTCTGCTGCTGGGGGACAGGAGCGACTATCTCTGTCCCCTGTAACTCAGCCTGCCGCTGGGGAATGGAGCTCAGGCTCCCAATTCCCTGCAATATCTCCCGCTGGGGAATGGAGACTGGGCTCCCAATTCCCTGCAGGACCGGTGGAGAGACCTCGGTCCCATCTCTACCGGCCACCTGGGGTTCTTCCCAGAAAATATCCACAATGTCTTCCCAGCTGAATGGGTCTGGCTCTGGGTCTGTCATGCTGCTCTCCTGCTGAGCCTTCTCGCTGTATTGAAACAGCTGCTGGTAGCCCTGTTCTAGCTCCATCTCCCGGGTTACCAGGTGGACCAGGTCTTGCTCAATTTTGTGAGCGTCGTCCCAGTCATACCTGCTCTCCCTCCACTCCCAGAGATCACTGAACCGGGCTTGTGTAGGGCTCCCAAATTCGAGCTCTGAAAACGACTCCCATAACAAGCCAGGACCATCAAACTCCTCTCCCTCTGGCTTGTCATGCTCGGCTGTCCAGGGTAGGTACTGTGCCCCATACCACCAGAGCGCCTGGTAGGCATCTTCTAGCCACAACTCCTGCCATACTAGGTGTTCCAATTTCCTCACCCATTCCTCCAGGGGCTGCTCTCCCAGGAAGGGCATCCGCAGGGCTACTCGCTTCTGCAACCGCTGGTCTTCCTTGGGGAGTCTCTTGCCCCGCTGGTACTCCACAATACCCAGTGCCTGGTACCAGATGCCTTTACGGACTGCATCTCGGTCATCCATGGCACCCTCGTCATACTCCACTGCTGGTTCCATGCTGGTGCTGTCAGGGTCACTGTACTGGGACATGCGTTGCCCTCAAATTGTAAAATCCAAAGAAATGGTGTCTCCTGTAGCTGTCCTTCTGGTTGTAGGAACGATCCCACCGCTGCCACCAATTGTAACGGACCGTTTTGCACAAAAGGGGAAAAAAACCGCTTAGACGATAATCCCCTTTCAGAGACAGGCACAGCTACTGTAGAATCACCAAAACTCACGAACCGCCAATAAGTGAATGCTCCAAACTCCCGAACGGCATACAAGGGAATAAGGTAGCACTTCAAATAAACGAACAGGAACCATACGAATAGCTGCTAGCAGGCGAACAGGAAAAGCTTCCAAGCGGCTTACACTCCTGGCAATCAGTCCTTAGCAGCATACAGTAAATCCCCCCAAAGACGAGACAAGGCTCCGTGTTGAGGGTCAAGCAGTGGTCTGTTTAATGAGGGCTACCTGCCCAGCTTTTATGCAGGTCTCCCACCTGGTGGACACTCCCCTAGGGGACCAAATGGGAGACTGTGACAAGGGACAGACAAGTATACAAAAAGGACACACAGTCACAGTATATTCCCACAATGCATCCTGGCTTCCTCCCCTCTGCCCTGGGAGATAATTGGGAAGTAACTCAATTATCTCCCA